CAAAACTAATTTGTCATTAGTCATTGATTAACACAGAATTTACTTCTATACTTTTAGGGATCGTGATTGATGCTAAAATAAGCATACGAACAATAAGCAATAAATCAGCTGCTTCAAAAGAATGGCAGCGATTGCGAGAATCTCACAAGCGAACGTTGTGCAAGCCACGAGGAAACATACAGCTACTGTATTTTTCTTCCATGGTTCCGGTAAAGTATCAAATAATCTTATACTTGTGTAATATAATAATCTTTCCAATTGTAGTAATGAACAAAAGAATAATTTAAACGTGTAAAATAAAATAATGCGGATTCTTTTGCTGTAATTGCTAATTTCATGTGTGTTTACGTTTACTTTACTTTTGCAGGTGGCACAGCAGAGGATTTAAAAGAATGGGTCGATATTGTTAACAGAGAAAAGCTGCAGTTTCCACACATAAAGTTAATTTACCCTAGCGCGCCCAGCCAGCCTTACACACCTATCAACGGAATGGTAGGATAATGCAATTATGATTAACTCTGGAACACTTGTGACAAAATTATTTATTAATACAGATATAAAACACATATAAAAATATATATATATATTTATAAAAATTTTTGAGGTATGTGTTGACAATCCATTAGCCAAAGTTCCAGAGTTAAATTATATCTTCTTTTATAATTTCTTGAGTTGATAAATGTAAAACCTTGTTATAGATGCAAAATGTATGGTTTGACCGTATAGCGATATCTAATCAAGTGCCAGAATGTCTAGAATCAACCAATTCCATGTGTCAAAATGTATCAGAATTGATTGACAAAGAAGTAGCTGACGGAATTCCATTTAGCAGAATAGTTCTGGGTGGATTTTCGATGGGTGGCTGTCTAGCGTTACACTTAGCATACAGATTTCGACCTGCCGTTGCTGGCTGTTTTGCTATGTCTTCCTTTTTGAACAAGGGATCTATAATCTATGAGGTAAATATATTTAATAAAATAGGAAGTCTTTCACAATTATAGAGCATTGATATAAGTACTTGATTTTAGTTATAAAAGGTTTCCACAAAATTAAAACTCAATATTAATACAATTGCAGCATTTGAAAATGAATCCAGAAAATGGTAAAGTAC